TAGCGAAGGATCCACAACAAAATTAATTTTCTAGATTAAAGTCGGAAGCCCCTGGTTTCCTTTTTGAAAAATCATAGTTTAAAATGCACTATGAAGTTGTCTTTAGAGATATTTAAAAGCAGGAGGAGCTTAAACTCGCGATAGAGTCTCTTGCTCTCTGATATTCATCACTTGTACTTGACTCTTTACCATGTCAGCAGATCTGAGCTCAAATGGGTCCCAAGAGCAGAGAGACACACTGATCCTCTCTGAAATGTGTATGATCTGTTTGTTAATACCCACCCTGATTTTGCTTTCTTGGCTTACCAACTCTGAATTGGCAGAGTCCCTCTTCCTGATATTTCCAGTTTTTGTACCCTGCTGTCAGCATTTCCTTTTCAAAGTAAAACGTGCTTCTTTCAACCTAGGCTTTGCTTAGGCTAACATTGCAAATTATCAGAAACTCCAAAGGACTCCAAAGGGCTGTTAGGAGAATTAAATGAGACCTATGTAGAGCACTCAGCACAGAGGACAGTGTATGGTCACAATTAAGCTGAGAGCAGCCGTCTTGCTCAGGCATTCCCTGCACCTCTGAGTCTGAAGTTACCAGCTGGGCAACTTCGAGGCTATCTCCCCTGCTCTGTTCTGAACACAATGATAGTTTCAGCAGATGTCTAGTAAACAAGCTTCTGCTCAAAGTGCAAATGCCTGTCCTAGGGATATTGCCATTTTTAAACCAGATAAATGCCCAGATATCTATCTTAGTGGCTGAGTGTGCATGCGATGTTATTATTTGTTGGTAATTTCTAAAGTCTACTTTTAAAAATAAAACTGAGGTACTTTTTATTTTCTCCATGACTTAAAAACTGTAGATAGTAGAACCGTTCGTCTGAAGGCATGAAAGGAGAGAAGAAACTGGAAATGAAAGCAGAGTGGGCTGGGGGGGAGGCTGGCTAGACAGCAGGTGTGGACTCACTCAAGAGCTGTGGCCAGCGGGGGCCTGTCTCGGTGGGCACGGAGTGTGTTGGCACTGCCCTAGTGGCCAGCTGCCAGGGCACAGTGCTGGCAGGGGCAGGGGTAGGAGGGGACTTGTGGATGCTTGCCCACAGACTTCATAAGAACACGATTTTACCCTTTCCGATGTGAAGATTGTTCTCTTGGGAAATATGGAGACAAAAAAGGAATTAATTAGCTTTAACTTCTCTCTCTCTTTCTTGAATGTAATCTTTCTCAATCAGTGAATCCATCTAACTCTTATTCACCATTTACTTGAAATATCCTGGAAGTCAAATCTGTGTTTCTGCTGGTAGCAGCCTGTCAGTAATAATGGTCATCAATGAGCATTACATACACTATCCTCTGTGCTGAGTGCTTTACATATATTTCTTTTTTTTTTTTTTTTGTCTTTTTGTCTTTTTTCGTGACCGGCAACGGATTGCAACCCTCAGTGTCGCGCCCGTACCGGACCGGGACCGGCAACGGGATCGCAACCCTCGGCGTTGCACCCGCTCCTCGCTCAGCCAGTGAGCCGCCGGTCTGCACATGGGATCCGAACCCCCGGGGGGAGCGCCGCCACACTTCCCAAGCGGCGCACTGTAGCAGTGCACCACCGGGCCGGCCCCCTGGGTGTTGTTCTTGACTGACTGCGTGAGCACTGAGAGTGGAGTGTTAAATTCTTCCTCCTCCCACTTCTGCAGCTCCTCGGGGGTCATCTCACTCTTGGACTTGTTGAGGAGGCTCATGGTGGCTGTGTGCTCAGGTCACTCCCGTCTCCTCGTTGCTTCTGCCTCTCTCCTATTCTTTCCTACTGTTTGTCCAGCTCTCTTCATTCAAATAATTCCTGAAATCCCATCACCTCCAAAATTTTCCTTCATGAAGCATCATGTTTACTAATATGCACAGAAGGGGGCTGGCTGGTTAGCTCACTTGGGAGAGTGTGGTACTTATAACATCAAGGACAAGTGTTCAGATCCCCTTACTGGCCAGCATGCAAAACAAGCACTTGAAAAGATGCTCAACATAATTTGCCATTAAGAAATGCAAATCAAAAACACAATGAAACACCACTTCACACCCACTAGAAGGGCAATAATCAAAGAAACAGACAATAACAAGTGTTAGCAAGGATGTGGAGAACTTGGAACCCTCAGTGCATTGCTGCTGGGAATTTAAAATGGTGCAGCTGCTGTGGAAAACAACTGTTCCTCAAAAAGTTAAACATTGAGTTGCCATATGATCTAGAAATTCTACTCCTAGATATATACCATAGACAAATGAAAACATATGCAAAAGCTTGTACATGAATGTTTATAGCAGCATTATTAATAATGGCCAAAAAGTAGAAAATATCCAAATGCCCATAGATTAATGAATGGCAATATAAAATGTGGTATGTCTATGCAATGGAATATTATTAGGCAATAAAAAGGAATGAAATATTGATACATGCTAAACATAAATGCACCTTGAAAACATTATGCTAAATGAGAAAAAAAAAACAGTCACAAACACCATAAATTATATGATTCCATTTGATTCTTGATATGAAATAAAATCAAAACAGACAAGAAGTTGATTAGTGGATACTTAGGGCTGGGAATAGGGGAGAACGAGGAGTAATAGCTAATGGTTTGGGGTTTTTTTGTTTTGTTTTCTTTTGTTTTGTCAAATGACCAGTAAGAGGATCCTAACCCTTGGCTTGGTGTTGTCAGTATCACGCTCAGCCAGTGAGCAAACCGGCCATCCCTATATAGGATCTGAACCCATGGCCTTGGTGTTATCTGCACTGCACTCTCCCGAGTGAGCCACAGGCTGGCTTTAATGGTTTGTTTTTAGGAAAGATGAAGATATTCTATAACTAAATCAGCCCATTTTTCTTCGCGGCCTCCCTCCCTTTTATTACTCTAAGAATCCAGTGAGTAAATGTTGGAGACACACACACGTGCATGCACTCGTTCCAAGAGCAAACCAGCCCATTTTTCTTCGCGGCCTCCCTCCCTTTTATTACTCCAAGAATCCAGTGAGTAAATGTTGGAGACACACACACGTGCATGCACTCGTTCCAAGAGCAAATATTCATTTTCAAAACGAGCACACTTTAAATCCATAAGGATAAACATTCTTACATGTCCTTCTAATTTGGCACCCACCTGCTTCCTGCTGCACATCCATACTTGCAGCTACACACCCGATGGTTTAGTTCTGCATCTGTGCCCCGCAACCCTCTTCCAACATTACAGTATGCGTTTTGGGAGACAAAGATAGATCCATCAACAAGCCAGTATTTTAGTGGTCACTCTTATTATGTACACAAAAGCCGCTGACTTGAAATCAGTGCTTCCAAGGGCCCATGTAATTACTATGACAAGAGCCATCATCTGTGCCAAGGTTTCCTTGGCGGATGAGAGATTGAGATGGATTCAGTGTCCCAGACATAATGAAAATGACACCACCATTAATAATAACAGCTCCTATTTATCACGTGCCTTCTATGTGCATGGCTATTGATTACATATTGATTAATATGAGATATTGCTCAGCGATGCCAGGGAAGTCCCAAATCCACAGTAGTGGGCATTGACTCCAGAATTCAAGTGCAGCTTCAGTTCGCTCCCACGTCCACGTACTTTCTGTTTCACTTGGCTGACCATGCATTTCTGAAGCGTTTTGCAGACCATGATTTGCTGTGTTAACACGGCATGTTCATTTGGTCTGCCAATGCTGTGACTGAAGTCTGGGCACTCCCCACCATAAGTCAGGTGTCCTCGTGTGTCATTTCTAAAGGGCAGCTTTAATTAGGAAAGAGAGTAGCAAAAGTGACACCATTTCTCTTGCTTGCATGGTTCCTATTGTATGAAGAGACAGCACAGCTCATGATTAGCAGAGTGCGTCTGTGCAGGATGGAGCTGTGATCTTGGGGCTGGGAGCAGAAGCAGAACTATAATGAGCAAAAATAAGATTCAGAGACAATTGGGCTCCTCTGCCCCCATCTGGAAAATGGAAAGTTCAGTATGCAAATGACAGGAGAAGGAGATTCGCTGTGACTTCTGTGGAAAGAGGTGGCGTTTGCTAATGTATCCATTCATCCAACAGATACTTAGTTATCAATTAATATTGCCAGATGCTGTTCTGTCCCTAGCAGTACATAAGTGATTAAGAGAGGAGAAAATCCCTGCCTCTGTGGAATTTACATTCCAGAAGTGGAAATATGCAAATAATAAATAAAACAATATTGTATCAGGTGGTGACTGCATAAGTAGGTTTTGAAAGGCACTGGTATGTTTAAGGAATCTGGGTTAAACTCACAGCCCTGGACCTTTCTAACTGGGACTTCAAGAAGCTCTTTAGTCTCTTCAAGACTCAGTTTTCTCATCCACGGAAGGAGCACTATAAGGTACATCCCCAAGGTCTTATTAGGACTGAGATGATGTGCGAATTTTTTGAATACAGTAAAACAGTAGAAAAATGGAAATTGTGTCACATATCAGCATTGTTTTATTTTGAGGCTCTTCCCAAATCTCCACCTCGGTCATCTCAATGATACTAAGAAATATTTTGGACATGATTTAAATTTTAATGATAGATTACATTTATTCCTTGTTTACATTTTCACAATACTGGTACAATTTAGTGTGCTCCAAAACACTGAGCTCTGTATATATAGTATAATAAAGAGAATTTTTATGTAGTACAACAAAGATGTCCCTGAGGTTCAGGAGAGAATTATATCAAGTAACCAGGTTTTCACTGCTCAAAAATGGTTGTGAGAGTAAAAGTACACTGTTGGTTATTTCATGATTTTTTTTGTTGTTGTTCTTTAAGACTCTGATACCTTCAGAAGCAAATGGCTTGCTCAGCTCCCTGTTAGATGTCATTTCCAGCCTCAGCTCCTTACTTGCCAAAGCCCAGCATGTCTTTGAATACCTTCCAGAATTTCTTCACACATTGAAAATTACTGCCTTTCTAGATAGTCCGGACTTTCAACAGGTGTGTGTTTGATCTTTGCCCCTGGGGAAATATTCAAATTTGCTCTTTCTTTGTATTTGCTCCTTTTTGACTTTATTTCTCTTCCCACATCTAAAATATGCATTAGATAACAAAATACAGGAATTGGGGAATACCTTTTAATGTCCCTGGAGGCAACAGGGTGACAAAGATAAGGCCTAAAAACTGGATGAAAGAGACCTGTTTATCCACATCCCACCAGTGTGGAGATTTGCATGGTCCATGCATTGTCTATGAAAAAATTACTAACTCAATTATTAGCACAAATGAGATTTTAGGGGCCTGTTTAACTTAATTCAGAGAGCAAATTGCTTTCAAAAATGCTTATTTACATATAAATAATTGGATTACAAATTACAGAGTGTTTGTTGCACATGCAAACACAAACTTGAATTAGGTTAGCGGCTTGATAATAGTTTTTGCTTGAATTCTCTTTTCCTGGGGTGGAACTGACTGGGACGGATAAGAAGGAGTGTGAGATTATCTAGGGTTAGAGGTATGAGGTGAGGACCCAGATAGTGTCCTCAGAGCTGCCTTGGAGGCAGTATGTCAGTATGTTAATCAGCTGCTGGGTAATTTGGATAGTTGTCGGATATCAGGGTAATCTGACAGTGTAGATATGCATTACCAATATTAATTAGTCTGAGTTAGTGATATTTTATGCATTAATAATTTATTAATGGACAGATAAGAAGGACTTGCTGGGGTGTGTGTTTGTGTGACATTTTCCTCTTCTATCAGGCATGTTGGCCAGAAAAATCATTGCAGTAATTTGAATGGTATCCCAAGGACAGGAAAGACTAAAGCAGAGATCCATCCAGTTCTTTTGACTTGTTGAACATCTTGCACATTCAGTTGAAGAAAGGACTTCATTTTCAAAAGTGTGAGGGAATTGCTTTAAGTCACTAATTGCAATTAATTTTTATTATATTCTCAGGTTTCACAAAATGTCCAGGCCAAAAGTTCAGCCTTTGGTTCTTTTCAGTCTGTGATGAAGATGTTTTGCAAGGACCAAGCATCATTCCTTAGCAATTCTAATATGTTCGTTAATTTGCCCAGAGTTAATGAACTCTTGGAAGATGACAAAGAAAAATTCAACATTCCTGAAAATTCAAGTAAGACAATAGTAATGTGTATTTGTTTAGGTTAATTCGTACATTGGTAATTAGCCCTACTTTTTACTAAATATTCTGTCTGTATAGAAGGCTTGTACATAGTGGCATAGAATTTTCTGCTTCTACCCTCTTACCTTTAACCATCATTTTTGGCAAGGTCCCAAGATGGTGGCATGGTGGTTGTCTTTGGATGGTTCTAGTGCCCTTAAGCACAGGTTAATCCTCTAAACTGTGTCACCGAGAAATTGGGCCTGAAACATCTAACACACCTGAAATCCCAGCTCCTTTGGTACCCCAGCTAATGAGTATTGGTGAGGAGCCCAGGCACAAAGAACAGGAGCAACATTTTGGTCCTTGCAAAATGGCTCTATCATATAACAAAGTGAACTTGTATATAGACTCCTACAAACTTGCTGTCCTTGAACTTCAGTGCACATAAGAGTAGATTGATAGGTGATTTTTGGGATCCATTTTAAGTGAATAAATTTTAATAGAAAGGCAGACTAAACATGCTGGTGAGGGTTTAGTGTTTAGACTTTCAGCTCCATCAATAACAAGTTGTGTGTTTTGGTCCCATTATTTTATGTCTCTGAATCATGTTAGTCTCATCTGTAACAGCAAAACAGTAGTAGCTAGCTCATAAGGTTGGCTGTGAGGAGTAAAGGAGATGGTGCATGTTAGTGGCTTAGCACAGGTGCAAAAGTGTGTTAGTTTTCTAAGCTGCAAAACAAATCACCACACCCTTAGTAGGTTAAGACAGCATGTTTATCATCTCACAGTTTGTGCGTGTCAGCATTTGGGCACTGGTTAGCTGGTCCCCTGCTTGGGATCTCGCAAGACTGTACAGGTATTGGCCAGCAGAGCTGGGGTCTCATCTGAGGCTCAGGTGGCTGTTGGTAGAATTCTTTTCCTTGCAGCTGTAGAGCTAATGGAGGCTGCATCTTCCAGGCTGGCAGGAGTATCTCTGACTCTGAGGCTTCCAGTCTCTTTCAAAGAGTTTACCTGATTGCTCAGCTCTCATCTGAGGCTCAGGTGGCTGTTGGTAGAATTCTTTTCCTTGCAGCTGTAGAGCTAATGGAGGCTGCATCTTCCAGGCTGACAGGAGTATCTCTGACTCTGAGGCTTCCAGTCTCTTTCAAAGAGTTTACCTGATTGCTCAGCCCTTTTTATTAACCTCAAGTCAACTGATTAAGGGACTTTATCTACATCTTCACAATTCTTTCTTGTTGACTGTGAAACCTAATCATGGGTGCGGCCTTTGTCACATTTAGAGGTTTTGTCTGCACTCAAGGACAGGAAATTATATAAAGCATGAACTCCAGGGGGCCATTTCAAGATTCTGCTTTCTTCTTCCTTCTCCCAAGGTAGATCTTTACATATTTTGTCCCTGGAATAGGACTGAGGACAGAGGTGTTGGTGGGACTAGGGAAGAAGAGGAATTTGGGATTATCTAGAGTTGGAGGTGTGGGATGAGGAGCCAGATAGCAATGTCTTCAGAGGTACCTTAGAGGCAGTAGTCAGTATATTTATCAGCTGATGGATAATTTGGATAGTTGTCAAATATCTAGGTAATTTGGTAGTATAGGCACACATTAATATTTAATAATGTTTGTTGTCTCTTTTCCTAATCTTCATTTCTCTTCTTTTTTGCCTTGGGATTGCTGAGGATTATTGATTTGTGTATCTGATTCAATCATCTGTCCATCACCTGTCTATTCATCCATCCATTCATTCATCAGCAGTCCTTAAGCTAACATTGAGGAGCAGAGTTTTTAAAATTTATTTTTATTTTATTTTTTATTTTTTCCTATTGAAACATAATTGATTGTTCATATCTGTGGGATATTGCATTGAACATCGATACCTGAGTGCAAAATTTAGTGATCAAATTAGGATAATTAGTGTATTTAACATTATACAATGTAACCATTTTTTGTGGCCCTTTACCAATTTCTTGCTACCCTCCCCCTTTCCCATCTCTGGTAACTGCAGTTCTGTTCTTGAGGAGCAGTTTTTATTGGTCTTTCTATACCTATCATTTCCAATGATTGTCACACTAGCCATTAGACAATGTTTTCCATTTCAAAATTTACATCATTTTCCAGATGATACTATGAAACTCAGAGAGAGTTGAGTTACGTGCCCAAGTTCACACAGCTCACAAGTGGCAGATATCAGCATGCTTGGTTTCAAATTTCTTGTTCTGTACATATAATGATTATGTATATTCTGAAATAAAATCTCTACTGTCTATAGTAAGCTTGCAATTTAAAGAGTAAATTGTTAAAATTTCACTAAGAGCAATCCGTGTACTTAATGCTTTAAAAATTCATTATGTAGTCATGCTCTTTGTATTTTAGGGAGTTACTTTTATTATTTTATTATACTTGTAAAATAAAAAGTTTTTTTTTTTTTTTACTTTTCAAAAGAGAATTGGGGAACATGACATTAACAGAATTATCACAACAGTATTCTTCATAACCTGGGTATTGTGAATCATGATATTAAAGCTAAGATAATATTTCCATTTTAAATGCTCTTTTTACGAGTAAAAGAGTAGCTGTATTGAAGTATTCCTCACGAGCTCAAAGCCTTGAGATAGGGTGACCCCCACTTTCATAACATGTGAAATTCACTTCTGTGAAACTGCTTGCTGTGTGACAAGGTAGATTGAATTGCTTAAAAAATGTTGTTGTTTGAAAATCCCCCTTGGCTCTTTAGACCCCTTTGATAGAAGTTAAAAGCTACTATTAGTCTGCACTTAGAGAAGTTTGAATTTTGTTTGATGTTCCCCACCCAAGCTGCCCCTGAGCGATTAACTGGTTTGTTTCAGCTTCTGTTATCAGCTTGCACTAGGCCTCCCCAAGCCCCCTCCTCATGCCAGGAGGGTAAGTGTGACTATATGATAACTATAAGTGTGTGACTATTTGATAATTTTAACTGTGTGACTAATGTAAAAATGCACCTTTTAAAAGACCCCTTAAACTTAAACTCAGGGCTGCTTTCTTCCAAGACTTTCTTGGAGGGACAGTCACTGGCTGGCCAATAAAAATCCCCTCTTAAATTCTCAATTGGGTGTTCTGGTTACTTTTCCATGTGGCAGCCTCACAACAGCCTGTCATATTTGATTACTAATCATTATGATGATGAAGGCTCTACCTGCCTCAGGTACCTATTGATTTTAACAGTTTAGTTAAAAAAAGTGTTTAATTGAAACCAACTGGCATCACAACAATAATGAGAGCTACCATGAAGAATAAAGTGTTTGAGTGAAAATAATTCAATTTAATATCTCAAAAATAGTAAGTTTGGTAGTTCTGCAGAGGTGTATCAAAGAAAATTCAGTAGTAACTTGTAAAGCTAGCTTCATAAGAAAAACTTAATTCTAGTCTTAATATTGTTGTTGAAATGAGAATTTTCTTGATTAAAAACCACATTTAAAAAAAATTACCATTTTCATTTTCGGGTGCCTATGTTGTTAGTTAGTGCTCATTATTAGTAACTCAGTCTGAAGATGTGAGAGTTAGGCTTTCCTTTCTTTTCAGTCATACGAGTGAACACAATTTCATGAAGTTTCTCATGAGACAAGAGCTGCTGAAAACTGTTAAAAAGAAAAAATGTTCTTGGCTCACTTCCTAATTTTAGAGATTTGTCATGAAAAATACTGTATATCTAAATCATTCATTGAAAAATAAGGCATTGTGAATGTGTAAATGAATTTCCCTTTTAACCTGGGCATCCTGTATTATGACTAATAATTTTTTTTCCTTTTTTAATTGTGACAGCACCATTTTGCTTGAAGCTTTATCAGGAAATCCTACAGTCTCCAAATGGTGCTTTGGTGTGGTCCTTCCTAAAACCTATATTACATGGAAAAATACTGTATACACCAGACACTCCAGAGATTAACAAGGTCATTCAAAAGGTCAGTTAAAATGAGTGACAATCTTAGACCATACTAACGCTATACTGGGAAGACATCTTTTAAAATGTTTAACATAATTATTATATGCATAATTATTTCCTTATACTGATTGAAATTCATTTTGTCCTGAGTTTTTTGCCATTACTGTTGTTTTTAAAGTGGATTTGCTGAGTCCTTCTTTTAGAGGAGACTTTGGAGGCAGGGGGTATTATTTAGAATTATGGAATGAATTTACTGAATTCTAATATAAGAAGTTGAGGACAATTAGAAAGGAGGACTGTTTTAGGTTTTTCAAAGGGGAGTAGTTCCAGGAAAATTTAGAGAAAAATGCTAGTCTGTTTGCTTGGTGCATGTGATGATTAAGAAAGTATCAGACAAGGCACATGCACACTGATGTATCCACGGTACCTTTTGTAAGTGTTGTTTTCTGAATTGACTGTGAGGCTTTGCTTCACTCTGTAGAGAATAAGGTAAGGTAAAGAGGCCAAAACAGACTTTACCCAGGAGGAATTTAGACATTGTGTCATTCTGCTTGTTTTCCNGAGGCCAAAACAGACTTTACCCAGGAGGAATTTAGACATTGTGTCATTCTGCTTGTTTTCCCTCTTTTACATTGTTTAATTTTTCCAATTAAATTTACTACAGTATTTATTATTAGTAGTATTTGTGGTTTGTTTTTTAAAAATTACGTTGTCCCAGGGTCTTTTCTTGTCTGGTTTCTTTTCAAGTGATTGTGATATATTTTCCCGGGGTCTTTTCTTTTTGAATGGTGGCTCGTGAGCCTCCAGGTGCTTTGAAAGGGGATGTTTATCCAAGGACATGGGAGTGATTTGATCTTGCTGTCAAACACAGGAGAGGAGATATCTATTCTATTAATGATAAACTTCCAAGCTTCACATAGTATTAACTTAAAAACTAAAAAGTTAAAAGTGGCTTGTGATCATACAAGCAGTTAAGTTATTTTTGATCAAATTCGTTTTTACAAGTTTCATGGTCTTGGTGGCTGTGTGAGGTCATAGCAGTAGTCTCCTGGGAGCTTTCTTTCCCACCTCACTGCTTAGCCAAGAACCTGCATTTATCTCAGCCTATTCTGAGTGGTATTTATGACTATTTTTTTGAAAACATCCTTTTGGAATTATTTGCAAAAGTCTGGACTCTCACAACGTGATAATGACATTCTAGATATGTGCAGGTGTTAGCCGTTCTATTGGGCAGGATCTCTGGCCCTAAGGCTGCTGTTCCAGGGCTGTGCTTGAGAGAGAGGTGTTCAGGCCAGGCCTCGAGCTAAAGCCAATGTTATTCCAATTCCCTTAGTGTATTAAGCTTTTAAAGGTCATGGATATTTTAGAGATTTCATAGAAAATGGCTATATATCACAGCTTTATTTTAAATTTAGAATTTAAAAATAGGCTATAAATTTCTTTTTTATGATTATATGGTGTATTACTATGTTAACATTATTAATAATACATATTACTGCAGTTTTACATACTGTGCTATATACTGTGATATGACAATTAGTATGACAGTCTCTGCTTTTGAAGAGCCTGCAGTGAGAAGGCAAACGCTGAAGAAATAAAACAGATATAATACGAGAGATCTGTTCAATGAAGCAGAGGCATAAATTTGGGAGCAACTCATCTTCCTGGAAAAAAGGATTTGGAAAAGAACTTAGAAGGAAGTAGTGTGTAGGCCCCTGTCAGAGGAAGGTGGCCCTGGACAGAGGTGTGGGGAGAGGACAAGTCCCGTGTGTGTTCTGAGAATGATGAGCAAAGAAGAATCACCAAAGATTTCATTGGTTCTTGCTTAGTCCCTTTTAGATTTTATAAGCAGTAATAAGAGCTGATATAGTCATTACTTATTTGATATGGCCACAGCTTTGCACGCAGGTGTGATGGTTTTGTACTTATAAAGCTGACTTTCTGGCATTGTACCTGGGATCAGTCATTCTAGCAGTCAGCCACAGCTACTTAGTTTTGTGAAAATTGGTTCTAGTCATTAGACTTGCGGTCTGATGTCCACACAGCTGGGAGATACTTGCAGTGTTGCCGCTATAGAGCAGTATCATCTATAATGTTGGGGTGACCAGTGCTATAAATTATTTACTACTTGGTCTTATTAGTTCCATTATTTCCTATTAGGTGGAACCATATGAAGTTGCCATTTTTACAGGGAAAAATGCGTAAAAATTGGTAATTTCACATGGTTCAACTTGTAACAGTGAGGGTAGCATCAAGAAGCATGATGTTGTGGTGAGAAAAGTGCTTGTGTGTTGGAAGGCTTCCGTCCTCCCTTTCCTAATTCTTTGTGCAACCTCAGGTGTGTCACTATCCCTCTGAAGGACGCTTCCTCCATCTGTGAAATGAAAGGCTTGACGGAGATCCGTGATTTTCAGTCATGGGGGAGACATTGGAATCACTCTGGGGCCTAACCAAGCCATTCCTTACTTAGCCTCACTGGGGGTACATGACCCCCTCACCCCTTGGACCCCTCCATGGATCTGTGTGCACCTCCATCAGCCTCAAAGATGTGACCCAGAAGAAATAATGGTGAAAATTTCTACAGAGTATTAAAGGATAAACTTAGGCACATTAAAATTTTAACAAGTTTGGGCATTCAGCTGTTCATGTCAGGCAGCACTAGAAGGCAAACAGTTCAGTGCTCTAAGTGTGTATGGCAGGGGCGGTGCCGAGGCATGAGAGAGGAAACTTTCATAAGGTGTTTGCAGAGCAAGACAAAGAAAATATATTTGGTCAGTTGAAGTGGTAAGTCTCTAGTTGGAGGTTAGTAGCGGTTTCTGGTTGGATAAGCGTTAAGTTTTGTTTTACTGTTTATGTTGAATTGGGTTTTGGTTTGCTTAAGTATGAACCCAGGGCACAGTAGCCCTCTTAGCTTAATGGGCTCCCAATTAATTTTAAGAGGAGTAATTTAACTCATGAGGGTTAAAATTTGTGAAGGAATTGATGGTGTTTCCCTGTTACACATCAGGAGCTTCCAGTGCATTAGTATGGTCTTTTTAATCTGTAGGTCAGAATTGTGTTTGTATTTCGCCCATTTTGATGCAAAAACTGAAGAACAATGTGTAGACACAGCATGGCATGAAAAGAGAGTGTAAAAGTAAAAACAGATGAAAGAGTTAGAATGTTTTCCCAAGAACAAGTAGCTGCCAGAAATAGCACAGGCAGACTTATCAGGCACGTCTAGTCTCCTGCTGCACAAAGCAGGTTTAGTTTGAGCTCCTTATGGCAGTATGGGTCCATTGGAATCAGACTTTTTTTTCCCCCCAGATTATCTGTTTTATTTTAAGACAGGTTAAAATATTTTTGTTTTTTTTATTATTGAAAACACAATAACTGTACTTTTAACAGTAGCAGATTAAAGACATTCAATTTGCTTTAAAATATTTACAATATTTCAGAACATGTACCGTTAAGCACTTAAATACATAGGTGAGAATAGCTTTATGAATAATATTTATCATATTAGACATAAGTTTAGGTACAGTTTTAAATTTTGATTAATTCTATAAGAGCAATATTCTCACTAAAAATTCAGAATGCTATTAATGAATCGAAGTTGCAGTATATTTAACAACAGAATCGGAAGGAAATGCATAAGGAGCTTTTGTAATAGGCTAAGTTGGCATGGGATGGAGTAGGAAAAATAGGACCTAAGTAACCAGTAGGAAAAATAGAAGCCAAGTAACACAGAACATGAAAGAAATCAAAATAGCAGATGAATATTATGAGATAGAGGACTAGCCAAAGAAATGCTTCTCCACTTCTCATCTACTCTCCCTACCCTAAGTGAATCATTGTACAGTATATGCATGTATTGCAATGACACACTGTATTCCACAAATATGCACAAGTAAATGTTAAAATTAAAAAATTTAAAAACAATGCTTCTCAATCCAAAAACACTTTCCTCAGAGTTTTCCTATATTTGGGGAAGAAAAAAATTTTCATGACATGCCATATATTATAGAATGTACTTTCTTTTCCATTTTTTTTCTTTTTTTAATTGAAATGTTTGATTATGCATATTTTGGGGGTAGAGTGTTGACTGTGAGTATTTGTGTACAATATATAATGATCAAATCAATATTATTTGCTTGTTCATTATTATGAATCATAATTATTTTTTGTGTTCCTTACCCAGTTTCTCCCTAAACCTGTCCCCCTGCCTTTTCTACCTCTAAACACAGGTCTGTTCTCTCTTTCTGAAAGTTCAACATATTATTGTAGTCCATCTTCCTTCCTTCCTTCCTTCCTTAATTTTTCTTTCTTTATTTTGTTCATTCTTTCTTTCCTTCTTTAGTTCCTTCCTTCTTTCTTAGCTGCCACTTATGAATAAGAACATGCAGTATTTCTCTTTCTGTGCCTGACTTATTTCACTTAACATAATTTTCTCCAAGCTCATCCCTATTGCTGTCAATGGCAGAATTCATTTTTTTTTTTTTTTATGTCTGAGTGGTATTCCATTGTGAATATATACCACATTTTCCTTATTCAGTCATCCACTGATGGACATTAGGTTGGTTCCATATTTTGGCTATTGTAAACAGAGCTGCAATGAATATGGGAGTGCAGGTATCCCTTCAACACGATGGTTTCCATTCCTTTGGGTATGTAACCAGAAGTGGGATTGCTGGATCATATGGAAGTTCTATTTGTAGTTGTTGGAGGAACCTCCAAACTGCATAGCTATACTAATTTACAGTGCCACCAAAAGTGTAGAAGAATTCCCCTTTTTCCACATCCTTGCCAGCACTTGTTATTTTCTGTCTTTTTGATAATGGCTAGTCTGACTGGCATGAGATCATGTCTCAATGTGGTTCTGATTTGCATTTTCCTGATAAGTGCCGTTGAAGATTTTTTCAACAAATGCCTGTTGGCCATTTGGTGTCTTCCTTTAAAAAATGTCTGTTCAGCTCCTTTGCCCATTTTTAATTGGACTATGTTTTTTTTTTTTTACTGTGAAGTTGAGTTCAATGTGTA